ATAGCGTTGATAACTGGACCAATTGTTGGTTGAGATGTTGCAAAGGAAATATCTGCTGAAGCTTTTCCGACACTAATCATAGCAGAACCATCTGGAAAATGATCTACAGTTATCAACGCTATTTTCAAGTTTTGAACAACTCGACTTTCAAGATCTACATATCTACATGTGACGATGTTTCCGTTTATCAACGTTATATTTTAAGATCTATGCAAGAACTCAGCTAATAGCTGTGAATGTTTAACTTTAAAAACTTATATAGCTGTGAATGTTTAACCCTAAAGGTTATATACCTGTCAATGTTTAACCGTCAAAAGCTGTATAACTGTGAACGTTTAACCTTAAAATGTTATATAGCTGGCAATGTTTAGCCTTGAAAAGTTATAATACTGTAAATGTTTAATATTAATAAGCTCTCATCCTTGTCTATTGTATTCATAACATTTTGTATGTTGGTGTTATATGTTACTTTATGTTTTATCCATACATCATACAAACGTACGTTGTTCTACTTCTTAGACTACCAATAGAACAAAGGCCGAATAAATTCCTGTAAAACCCGTTTTGCTGCTAAGAAAATACCAAAACTCCCGTGCATCTCCAAGGATATGTGCTTTATTTTATTGTTATCAAGCTCGATGCGTAGTGAAAACAAAGCCATGGTTAAAAAATGTACTTTTCATTACGAATAAAGCTATCTAGTGAGAAAATACAAAAACTCCCGTGCATCTCCAAGGATATGTGCTTTATTTTATTGTTATCAAGCTCGATGCGTAGTGAAAGCAAAGCCATGGTTAAAAAATGTACTTTTCATTACGAATAAAGCTATCTAGTGAGAAAATCAAATTAAAAAAAATATTACTCTATAAAATACTTGTTTTTGACTTTTTGGCTACTTGGATGAATATAATTGAATTTGTAAAATGTTCTATTTTATTTACACCCAATTAAAAGAAGTATTCTACATCTGGCACGAACGAACTCAAATACTTATAAAATAATAGATAGAGCGTTCAACCAATTAACAATCACTGATGACAAAACTCGATCATGCGTGTCATTTAGACAGTTTTTATAATAGTGGTTTCCTGATTAATATGTCACTCTTTAAACTGTGCAATGTTATTTACATTTGATAAATGAAAATTATAATTTCTTTTAATGTGAAAAAGATAAATCTTATATTTTTATTCTGCAATACTTGGTTTTAAGCACGTTTTCTTTCTGAAATGTTTTACTCTAGCATTTATAAGTTTAGAAATAATATAGAACCTATGAAAATTGTTTAATCTTAGCGTTAAGTTTTTGCACGTTTTCTTCCTGTGTTATAACGGTAATTGTATTAAGATTTGTTTGAGTCACACCACTATATCTTGGTTAGCTCACGGAAATCCATTGTTCTTGAGAAGAGACCAAATCTACTACTTATCCAATGGCATCAGTACACCATCTTAGTTTTTGTCATCAGACTCGCCACTCGAGGCGAACTTTTAAACATTTTCTACACGTCTTTGTATAAAAATGGCGAGGAATTTTCGCTTTTTAAAACATAATTTTCACGAGAGCAAGCATGTTTCTTTCAAGAACAACCATCGCCTGCGGCACGTGCGCATTTATTTTTACATAAGTATCTCGTGAGCGGCTCGACAAGTATGTGGTATGATCGTTGCGATGGTGCATTGTACTCAGCAAACAAAATTTCTCCGTACTCGGCTGGCGTCCTAAATAGCTTCGTTGCCATGACAACGTCATCCAATCACAAAGTGCAGCCCAGGGAAAGGCTAATTCCTGAAAGGATGCTTTTGCACTCACACTCACATACATATTAGCCAATGGCAATAAGAATGTTGCTATTATAAATTTTCTCTTCCGCCTTTGTTCGTAAACACATTTTACTTTTAAACTGTAATTATTTAACCTTTTAAAACTGGGACAAGCGATATTCGAGCACGTTATTGTTCGTTAGAAAATGTACAATTTTTATACGAACTTTAATGATAGCATGCAGTTGCGACATAATAGTTTTTATAGAGTTTTTGCAACGCAGTATAAAAGTTACGCACTACTGACATTTTCGAAGGTTCGAATAGAACCATTGAGTTGCGAAGGGTCTCTGAGCCTGGTGATTTACTGTGATATTTCCTCTCTCTATTTTACCGAGCAGAAAACGAAGTTTAAAGATAGA